TCTGATCCCAGTCTTTATGGAGACCTGTGGTTCTGATCCCAGTCTTTGTGGAGACCTGTGGTTCTGCTCCGAGTCTTTATGGAGACCTGCAGTTCTGCTCCGAGTCTTTGTGGAGACCTGTGGTTCTGCTCCGAGTTGTTATGGAGACCTGTGGTTCTGCTTCGAGTCGTTATGGAGACCTGTGGTTCTGATCCGAGTCATTATGGAGACATGTGGTTCTGATCCGAGTCGTTACGGAGACCTGTGGTTCTGATCCGAGTCGTTATGGAGACCTGTGGTTCTGCTCCAAGTCGTTATGGAGACCTGTGGTTCTGATCCGAGTCATTATGGAGACCTGTGGTTCTGCTCCGAGTCTTTGTGGAGACCTCTGTTTCTGATCCGAGTCTTTGTGGAGACCTGTGGTTCTGATCCGAGTCGTTACGGAGACCTGTGGTTCCGAGTCTTTGTGGGGCTGAAAGATGAGCTGATCTGGGCGCAGCTGGGATGTGTGGGATATTTCTGGTTCTTCTTAGAACCGGGTCTGACCGGTGCCGTCAGCTGGTTTTGCTGCTGAACGTTTTTTGTTGCTTCAAACCAAACGAGACTCAGAATCTGAGTCAAAGTTTTTGAAAATTCAAAGTTTTATCAGAAAATGTTCTAAGAAAAAACAGAAAACGTTGAAACGACCGAGAACAGAGTTCTGTTTTTATTTAAATTCTTTCCCTGACTCGTCTTGAAAGGTTTTTAATTTTCTGAAAAAAAATTGAAGACTTTATTAGTTTTATTACGATAGTTCTGAAGGTACCATGGATTCTGTTTAATGGTTCTACTGGGTTTTATGGAGAACATATAAGTTAAACAGAGCCTTCACTTCCTGTTTGGAAGCTCAGATACAATATAAGTCAATGGGAGTTTGGGTGTGTGACCTCTGACCTCTGACCCGAAAAAGAAGAAAGCGGATGAAAGATGGTGGATGTTTTTTATTCAGATATTTTTAATGTTCTGACAAAGATTTTGATATGTATGATTTTTAAATTTCTTTTAGCTGTTCAGATGAACTCTGTCTCATCATATGATGAACTCAAGGTGTGATGAACTCTGACTCATGGTGTGATGAACTCTGACGCATCATATGATGAACTCATGGTGTGATGAACTC